CTATGAATGATCAAGCTGTAAACTTAAGAAATTGTAACAAAGAAGAAACCTGAACGAAAGTATTGCTCTTTCTCTCTTTTTAATTTTTTTTTCGCTGATATGAAATAGGCTAAATCAAAAACTTTCCTGTTGAGTTTATGTTTTACCTATTAGACACCTCACAGCCAAGAGAATTCAGGTTGCAAAAAGGACAGATCCTTCACTCTGGGGTCACTAGTGGGCGCTGCTATAATAATGTAAGTCACAGGGGGAAAGGGTTTCATTCTTAAGGTTTTAACACAGTTACACCTGCGGGAGTAGAAGCCTTTAAGAAAAGTCAGATGGACCCCATGTATAAACTGTCAGCTGTGTGCATAGTGGAAGATCAGCCCTTTGTGAATGGCTGTTCGTAGCTTGATTTTTGATCAAGATGCAATTAATTCCATTAGATATTAAGGCTTTGTTTGTTTCTTTTGGTCTGCACAGACTGTAACTATGGATAGATTTGCATCTGAGGTTGAAATTAATAATTTTAAGAATTGTGTGATGTTTCACGGAATATTACAGATGCTCATTTTCTACTCGGTTAAACCTCAACATGAAGTAGCTGGAACTCTGCCCTGAAGGAACAGCTGAGAATTTCTCCTGACAGAGACTGGCACAAAGTTTTTACCACCAGAGAAAGCAGAGGTTATAGGAATGTGTCGAGTGCTCCATCAGATCTGTGTCTTCAGTCATCTGGGTAGCTCCTAAATTTTTGTCTATGGCAAGGCTGAGCAAAGGACAGGTAGGCAGAATTATCTTTCTGACTTACTACTTCTGCAGTTGCTCCAAGTGTGAAGCTAGTACACCTGAAGACTGAGACCAAAGTGTCTGTCATCTATTATTAAAGCATGTGACTTCAGGATTAATTTATAGTTAGACCCATAGCTGAAATGAGCTAGGAACCTTGATACACCAGTAATTAAGTGCCTGATTCCATTTTGCCTATGTTGCAGTAAATTAGGAATAACTCCCTTGACACTGAAGAAATTGAACAGTGTGAAAAGTAAATTTGACCCTAAGTGCTGTGCATGTTGATTTGCTTGTCCATCAATGAAAACAAGTAAATGCAGATAAATTATTAATTGGGAAACAATTCCCATTACTTTATGCATGCATTCAAGAGTTCCCTGTCTTTGATGCTGCTGATAGCTCTGTTCTCAATCTGAAGGCTCTAACACATCCAACTCCTTTTAGAGTTTTCCCTAACAATTTAAACAGGAGTTATGAAATTTTGCTTTTATTTTAGTACTCATCCTGCTTGTAATAATAAGCTTTCTGTAGTAGGAAAGAATGGTAATCAAAACATGGAGTGACTTGTATGTGGTTCTTTTGGGACAGAAGAGCAGTAAAATTATGTATTTGAACAGTTCCCTTGGCCAGCTTCTCTTCAGGCAGATGTTCTCTAGGAAATGTAATTAGTGTGCTTAGTCTATCAGGTCTCTGCTCAGGCATTTCAGCCTAAAATGGGATGTTACCCTATTAATCTCATGGCATCTTCACGTGGCATAACCAGCTGTAACCAGTGGAAGCATGACAGGCAAAAAGCACAAACTGAAATACAGGAAATTCTGTTTAAACATAAAGAAGAACCCTTTTTACTGTGATTGTGGTCAAACACTGGAACAGGTTGCCCAGAAAGGCTGTGGAACCTCCATTCTCAGAAATGTTAAAAAGCCTGGCTGGACATGAAGCTGACAAGCCTGCTTCAGCTGAGCTTGCTTTAAGCAGGGTGGATGGACCAGACAACTTCCCAAGGTGCCTTCCCACCTCAACCATTCTATGATTTTAGGTTTATGAGAGCAAAAGGAAGCCCATAGAACAAAATCTCTATTATACAAATAGAAATCCATCGAAATTTAGCAGGCTCACTTAGCCATGTCAATATGAATTCCAGGCTGTTTCACTGCATCATGAAAGCCCACAGAAAGCATTGACTTCAGATGCTTTGGATATGAGTCCTAAGACTAATACTATAAACCCAGCAGTTTTCCTGGTGTAATTACCAAGAGTATTGTAAGTCCCAAGTACATTGACTTTCACTTTAGTACAACGGGAAGAAAGTTCATTAATTCTGGAGCAACGGCAGCCTGCATCTGTCTCCTTCTTTTCCCTTGGAAGCCATGGAGTGGAAGGATTCAATTGCTTTCAGAACTTGCTTTTGGGCCATAGGAACCCCCTAGCCATGAGATTTGCTATTATTATGGAACCAGAAATATAAAGGAGACCTTCAGCTTTACTTCATTCCTTACCCTGTAATTTTATACTGATAGATACAAATATAGACAGAGAAGAGCAAACAGCTGTTCTTTGGAGCAAAGATCAAAGTGGCCTTGCTGCCCTCTCTTTCTCATATATCCTGTACGGAAGTTGTTTAATCCATAGGCAAAAGACCAAGAACATTATTACTAAACTTGACCAGAAACCTGACCGATGTGTGTTGTAGAATTAAAATGGTGGGTGGGGATTGGATTATCTTTTTCGTGTCACAAGCTCACCCCAGTCCGCTGAACTCTATTTGTACACATGCAGCTACACAGGCAGTGAGGTTATAAAAAGGCATCTAACTGTGCATCCAGGTACAGTCTGAGGCAGAGCTGGCATTGCCTAGATAGAGTTGTGCTCTGGACAGGTAGCTTTAATTTGAGAAGCTCAGAAAAATAAATATCCGTGGTTTTAAATAACAGAGTATTACTTCTGTTCAAATGTTAATAAGTTAGTAAATAATTAAAGATTTTTTAAAGTGGTAATACATTAAATTAATTGGAGGTATAGGAATTTAATAGCTGTGATATTGTACAAAAATATCCCCTGTCATTCATCCTGTGGACTGTTTGCAAATTGTACAGTACCGTCTTTCAGAGTCAGGGAGCAAGCAATTGGAAGACATAAGCAGTAGTGATATTCTGTAATTAGACACTAATTAACCTGAACTGAACTGCTGTTATTCCTTACTGGCACAGGGTTGCAGTATTGATAAGCTAACTTTTCACAGACTAGAAAAAAACTTCTTGAAGTGTTCTACAGTTGTCTGAACCTTATTTCATTATTAAGACTTTCTATTACTAGAAATTAGTATTACATGAATCATTTAATATTGCAATTAATATTATAAACCCATTTCTATTCAATGTTTTCTCTTTTTAAAGATTTTGATTTCATTTGGGAATATTCACTAAAACTATTGAATGATTTCCTCTGCATAAATAGTTTCTAATTTATCGTTGTCTAGGTAAAATAATAATTAAACAAGGCTAACCTCAAGCAGAAAAGTGTTTTTTTTTCGTTTGACTGTCTCATATTCAGAATCAGGAAGATTTTCACTGTGGCACTGTAAATTCAAGATTAAAATCCTGCTAGATTTTGAACCTGGAAGAAACAGAGGTAGTTTTCCTGTGGCAAGATTTTCTTTCACTTTACAACATCTGAGCATTATTAATGATTGCTAATGGATTAGAAATGACTGGTGGGTCTGAAATGTATGGAAATACCTATACTCTTCTTTATTACATCAAAAGAGATATGTCAGTAAAACTGAGATCAGGCTCTGTCCCAGAATTTTGTATTTGTTTTGTCAATAATGAAACAGGGCATGTGGTTCACTAGCTAGCTCAGCATCTTCCTCGATTTAAGAGCGTGCTTAACTTCCTGTACTGTCAATGGATCCACTGGCGGGTGTGGAGCAATAGATGATATTTTAATGTGCTCAGGGATCAAGACCTGGACAACCTATTGTTTAAGCACTATATTTAAAAACAGAAGCATCCTGCTGCAAATCCACTGCTAGGTACAGAACATTTTCAAGTACATTTTCAAGTTCCGTTAACCACAGCCTGAGATACAAATCCTTTGCTGATTCTTTTCTTGTTTTCTGTTGGGTTTTTTCTTTTTTTTTTTTTGATCCTTCATCAACACTAAAGCCAAGTGCAGATTGCATTGCAGACTATCGGCAAACATAGAAGATCAAATATTTTAGGCAGTAACGCATGTGTATCGTGTCCGTGTTGACTTCTTTCTATCAGCAAAGTCTGTATCATTGTCCAGAGTACCAGGATTTGTCAAATTGCTTATTGGAAAAGTTTGATTTAAGGTTATAAAAAGATGAAAAGGATTTCACTGCTCTGCTGTTTTAGAATTGTTGTTCCTCTGCCGAAATATTCACTGCTTAAAACAAATACAAGTATTAATAACAAAATAATTTTTCTTATTCTTACTTTACTTTAAAAGTTACTTTGTTTTCTGTCATGTCTTACAAAGAAAAAATGGATTTACAGATTTGAAGAACCAGATTCTGCATTCCTTAGAATAGTTCAGGAACAGCTCTTTTTGTCAACAGCAGTTTCTTAGTGCTGTAATAGCTAACATGGTACAGCCGAAGGTACGCTACTGTGACCCAGGTATTTGTGATACAGAAAGCATCTGAAAGGAAAGGGAAATGTTTTCAGAGACATGCGTTAGAAAAGGCAGCATCTTTCTTCTTTGGAATTAAATACTTGTCTGTCTTTTGTGCTTTTGAAAACATTTCCCAAAAGAGTTTTTAAACAAGAGTGTCAAAGAGAAAGACACCAATTTATACCAGCAGAAGTACAAGCCTAAGACTGAAACACTGAAGTACAACACCATTTTCCAGCTTGAAAAATGACAGGAGCAAGCGTATATAGGAGACAACGTCTTACAGTCATTGATAGCCGTAGGAATAGGTGAAATTTTAGAACAGATTACAAAGCTGACTTTATAATTAATTTTAAAGCTTTTTCTCTTATTTATTCATTTTTGAAGGTTATGAGGATTATGATCACATGTGCAGCTCTGCATAGCTGTCCACTTGGAGATGATGGTGACTCCTTAGAGAACATACGCAAACACCTGGTTAACCAGCATAGTGCTCCTTTCATCTAAAAGATTTGATAACTGTTTTTCACCAGCTCTCCAGCTTTGCTCCATCATGTTGTCTCTACCAGCCTAAACCATTTCCTAAAATGGTCCTTTTCCTGTTCCTTGCAATCCTGTTATTGAAGGAAGATGTCTGTGGGAACTTTGGGCTTTTGGTTTCTGCACAGGCCAATGAAAGAAGGGTGGTTGCACACATGCCTGGTGATATTATCATTGGAGCTCTATTTTCTGTCCACCATCAGCCAACTGTTGACAAGGTTCATGAGAGGAAATGTGGAGAGGTAAGAGAGCAGTATGGCATTCAGAGAGTGGAGGCAATGCTACATACACTTGACAGAATTAATTTGGACCCCACGCTGTTGCCCAATATAACTCTAGGATGTGAAATAAGGGACTCCTGCTGGCATTCTGCTGTGGCTCTGGAGCAGAGCATTGAGTTTATAAGGGACTCTCTTATTTCATCAGAAGAAGAGGAAGGGATGGTGCGATGTGTGGATGGATCTTCATCGTCTTTCCACTCCAAGAAACCCATTGTTGGTGTCATTGGACCTGGCTCTAGCTCAGTTGCTATCCAGGTCCAGAACTTGTTGCAGCTTTTCAATATACCTCAGATTGCTTATTCTGCCACAAGCATGGACCTAAGCGACAAAACTCTGTTCAAGTATTTTATGAGAGTTGTGCCATCTGATGCACAGCAAGCACGGGCTATGGTGGACATTGTCAAGCGCTATAACTGGACCTATGTTTCTGCTGTACATACTGAAGGTAAGAGGTTTTGTTGTTTGGTTTTTTTTCCTGTATAAGAATGCCTTTGAGTTACTTTGATATGGTCAAATAGATAGATGACGGTTTGATGTTGTTGGTTTTTTGCCAGTCAGTTGTCAACAGTATAAACTTTTACTTTACTTAATAATAATTTCACATTCCTATGGGGCTGAAGTGCCATCATGTTGATCATGGCTGAAAAAGTTTGAAATACAGGATTGTGTGTGCTCTAGGGCCACTTGTTGCTAAGAGTGTTTACTCTGGATCCTCCTAAGTGATTTTAGTTTAATTTAGTTGACTTTTTTTTTTTTTTTAATCTACCAGTCAGTGTACTTATGTAGAATAACAATTTTTACTACATTGGTATTAATGGGTAATGAGAAAATGTCTGTTTTTCCTAGCACAGAAGAGAGCTAAATCATCATCTGAAACTGTAGCTGAGTCAGAATGTGTTCCTGCTTAATATCTAAGGCACAGAGGCCCAAATACTAGAGAACGTGTATCTCCATCAGGTGTCCAGAAAATCAGAACTGTGTGCTAAATTGCTTTTCTTTATTTATTAATTTGAATTAGATCTTAAGCTTTTTACCCTGTGTTCAGGAGAGTATATGATTAAAAGGAAATGTTATGGGAAAGCTTACCTGGTTTTGTTATTCCTTGTATTGGCAGAGTTGAGTGGGTTCATCTTGCTATAAGTGACTATAATTTCATACTGCCTTTAGAGCAGGTTTACCAGTTCCTGCCTAATGACAGCACCATTTAATGAGTTTTCTGGAAATTAGGTTGTGATGAATTTTAGTATCTCACTGGCTCTCCTCTGTTTGAAGAGACAACTCAGAATGGAAGGCTCAGAATATGATCTGGGAATGAAAAATGTTATTAAGAGATTGAGTAGCAGTGATGGCGTTTCTGAACAGCAGCAGATGCTGCTGGCTTTATTACAACCAATAGAAAGCAGATTGTCCTTCCCACACACTGAGTATGCTTCTCTGGCAGCCTTCATCTATTCAAAGCCCTTTTTGGGGCGATGCTGGTCCAAAGTTAGTATGTAGAGATCTTCATCCTCCTACAGATATGTAGAGAGCTCGTTCCGCAGTATTTAAAAAAAAAAAAAAAAAAAAAAAAAAGAACTTACATGCATATTGTTGCATTAATGTTTCCATCGTGATAACAAAAGCTGATAAACAACTGCAGCCTCTTTTGTATGGGGATGCATGAATATATTAACAGTTTAATATAAGAGCGTATAAATCACCCTATGTCACATCATGTAGTGAAGGTACACTGTGCCAGCTGATGCCTTTGGCATGGCTTGGTGTGCAGCCTTCGCTTCACAAATATGTATGAAAAATATCATGGTCAAACCCAATGCCACTGATGCAGCACATTAGCATAAGGTTTTATATCCTGACTGCTTTTGATGACTTGTCTAATGTTTCCTGTGAACAACTTTTACACCTCTGCTTGTTGAGAAGGGATGTTTATATATTCAGTGTGGGATTTGTCAAACTTATATCAAGGTCTGGTCCTGCCCAGAATGAGAATTCTTACTTTAACCACTTCCTGTGGACACTCTGTTTGGAGCAGATGGTAACATATGGCATGTTAATCTTATGGCAGAGGAACCTTGCACTGTGCATTGGAAAGAAGAGAATAGGGACACAAGGGTTGACAGAGGAGCTGGTTGTGAAGAAGGAGAAATGAGGAATGATGTATCTAGTACAACATGTGCCTCCTTCTGCCAGTATTAAAATGGACAAGATAGGTGGTATATTGCTAATACCTGAGGCCTCATAGCATTCATGGCATGTTTACAGCAACATAACTCTGGACTTCGGTGAATGAACATTAAACTTGGGTTCTGCGAATCTTATGATACTATCATCTATTTGCATGGTATGGTCATGATGATGAATATGCTCTCCTGTTGAATAACATCAAACAAATGTTTTCTAACAATAGAACAGATGGTATTTATAATGGGATAGAAAAATGTGAACTGGTCAAGGTATTTCTTGGAAATGTGACAATGTCTGATGTGCTGGAAACTTTCCAAAGATTATGGCAGATGTTGTCCCTTCCAGGAACAGAAAGATTTTTTAAAAAACACTACAAAACACTCCTGTAGATGAACGTTAAAGTAAAGGAATTGAGTAAACAAGCAAAAGATATATTCTTTATTTATATTATTTTTATAATCAATTTTCATTTTAATATAGCATCTGTTTACTTGTAAACATTCCAAATATGCCCCCTATACTCAGTGTCCTACATTCATAGATATTATTTCAAAACAGGGGAAAAATAAGTTGAATCCCACTCCTTCCAATTTTTATCGACTTAAGATCTTGCCCACCCATTGAGAGATGATCTTCTTTCAGTGTCTCCAGCAATTCTGGCCACCTACATTCATTATCTTTAGTTAATCTTCATGCACTAGCCAGACTCTTCTGAAATACGATCTTTGGTTTCTGGGAAGGATTTCCAAGGAGATGGAGGGTCATCTCTTTCAAAGCTGGACTGGGAGAAAAGAAGAGGCAGAAAAAGCTTGGTTATTTCATTGCTTTGGTAGTTCCATCAACAGATCAGGTTAAAGGTCTCTAGTGAAAGCCTGGGATAAGTCAGTAGCTTCATAATAAAAAGCTTCCTGTTTGAATCTTTCCTTCTGCACCCACTAATAAGCTATGTCTAGAGTGGATTAATGTTTTGGGAGGTTGATCTGAAGTTGTGTTATTAAATCCTTATTCAAGACTTCCAGATTTAAAATATGCAAAAATTTTGAGAGGTTCTCGTAAACTTTGCTCCTTTGACGTTTAGCATCACGATTCAATCTAGGTGATGCCTTCCAGTGTGCAAGTAACCGCTAGGAGTAATTTTCTTTCCTAAGAACTGGGAGGTAGCAAGCACTATTGTCAGTGGAACTCTTGTAATTTTAAGGAGGAAGTTTCTGCAATCCAGTTAATAGGAAATATGAGTAACAAATTAAGGATAGTTCTCATAAAGCAACAGTCATCTCCACTTACTGTCGTGTATTTCACATATGCCAATCAGAAGTCTTTGCAAGTCTCAGACTTGGGTTGTATTTCCCCTTGCTCGGCTCTGTCATGTGCTACTGGCATCATTATCTTCCCCCGTTCTCCAACTCTTCCTTGCATTTAATGATTTGTGGGGCTCTACTCTGAACCAATCCAGCTTTAAAATAAAACTTTTTCACCCACCACCAGGGCACTTTTAAAAAAAAAAATCATCAGTTCTGGAATCCAGGTCATGGCATGACCCCACAAATAGGCATGTTAGCACTGCGTTGCAGGAGTGAGCAGGCAAAGAGGCAAAATGTGATGGGAAACTCCTTGCACTAAAGACCTATCAGCTAAAGCCTAAGGCAAGTGCCTTCAACTTTATGGATTGCTACAACAGGCATGCAGGATGTGGTGGAGACCATTTTATTTGAAGTTTGCTTACTGATCTAATTCTCTCAGCTGGCCTTACAGATGTTTTTCTCCACCACTGTGATAGGTACAGAGCTTAAGCAAGCTTTCCTTAAACAAAATTTCACTTCTTAACCCAACTTTGCAGACAGACAGCAGGTCAATAATGCAGTCAGGAACTCTGTCTGTGCTTCTCTCTCAGGCAAGTACCTCAGCAGAGAGAAGCCCTCCAGTTTAGTCCCTCAATTTCTCCGAGTTGTTAGGGATTTTTTTTAGCTCACGTAACTGTTGTCCAACCCTGGGGAAACTAATGCATGGTTAAGGGAGTAGAGAGGAAAAATTGTGCCTGTATCTGGATTTTGGGTGGTGAGAGTTGGCATGCAGGTGGTCCATGCAGCTCAAGCACTCCTGGAGTTTTGCCTTGGCCTTTTCTTTCTTAATCGCTCGGCACCACAACGAATCAGAAGTGGTTGGGGAAATGGGAGAAGCTGGCTGTCTGCCCCAAGAGACAAAGAACTGTCTGTTTACCTCATTTCCCATATGAAAACATCCCCTGGTCTTTTTGAAAGATCAGGGAAAAATAGATACAATTTTCTCTTCTCCCATCATTGCAGTTTGAAGGCCTCACTGAAAGCCTGTTTGAAGTCAATACTCCCCCGTTGACTAGAGTGACATTTGGAGCAAGCCTTCCTAGTTGGAAACAAGGTCAATTCCTGAGAGTCTGAGCTTAAAATTTGCCTGGAGCCAAATGAATTAATAATTTGAAAGGCAATTTTTATTGCCATTGGAAACCATCTATTTTGCCACTCTGAATGGAGTGAAGAGGTGATGTATGCTGGAAAAATAGAACTGCACAGGGGTACAGTTGAAACACAATAAGCCAAATTTATTGGAGGTGGCAAGGGATAAATTTCACTCCATTATGTAAAAGGTGTGATTTACTTCTGAACACAGCCTTAAGAAAGAAACCACTTTGTTAACATTTTCTTTAGACAACTCTGCAGGTAAACATTGGATCAAACTCATCCTCAAAGTCTTTTCTGTTTAATATCACTTTCTTTCATTTAAATTTATCATAAGTGAATATAATGAGGTGGTTCATGTTCATTTTCTTAGTAGGTACCCAGGGAAGCATTACAAAAGCAGAACTTTTTTTCCCTGCAGGTAGGGACACATTTCCCTTCATATTTGTTCAAATGTGTCTGGTTACAAGACTATTTTTGCCTACATCCTTTGCTACCAAGTAAAGAGCAAAATGAAAATTAGTCATAGTCTGTGAGAATAGGATGAAGAAATGAATGAAAGAGCTGCAACAAGTTGACCTTAAACCTGTGCTTGGAACAAATTGTACTTACATGACGTTGTAGAGATTTTCTTTGAGACTTTAGATTTTTCTCCTTTAGATACAAAACCTATATCATAGTCAGAAATATTATTTGTTTTTCACAAAATAATATGATTTAAAATTAGATTAATTTTATTATTTTGACTATAGATTATATTTTTCATACTTTATATGCAGAAAAAAACCACATAGAGGTAATGTACCAAGAAGGTAATTTCTAGTCCATG